AATGGCATTATATCCTGCCGCACTTCATCCACATGCCAAACTCTGCCATTCCCATGCACCATCCCCAAATAACCAGGGATTTTTCAAGCTAAAGCTGGTGCAGTCCTGCCAGTGGACCACTGCCATTGTTTCTTGTTCATCTGTTTAGAAATTGTTTAAAGAGAGATGAAATGATGGGTGAGGGAGAGAGAGAAAGAGAAAGAAGCAGTGGTTCTGGTGAAAGACAAGGCAAACCCCCCAAACATCTATGGTTTTCAAAAATGGGCCCCCATAGCATGCTGAAGTAAAAAGTGGATCCTGCAACTGACAGGACTGAAGGATACTGTTCTCCTCATTGGTGCAAGGAGGCACATTCCTCCAGTGTTGAATTCATGAGTATTCGGGAAATCAGTGGGCCAACCCCTACTATTTTACTTCTCCCGTGTCTTAGCTTTTGGGGTCTTAAAGCATAAAGATGCTCCTTCTCTTACCCTGTCTCTGACTTTTCCCTGTCTCTTCATTCGCACCTAGGCTTTCTCTTTGTTTTGGATCTGGAGTCTCTGTCACTCTTGGGAAGCTACATTTTGGTGGCTTGTTGTAATAATATTTTAGAGGCCCTGTTCTAATAAAGCACTCGGTAGGTTTTTCAACTGATTAAAGAAGTTCAATTAACTGTCTTGCTTTTCAGCAGTTAATTCACATGTTATTTAAATTAAAACACATGTATAAGTAGAAAAATCTCAATTACAGTGACTTTTTGAGACCACCTTTAAGTTTCCTCCTCATCAAGTTTGGCTCAGGGAGGAAGGAGCTTCAGGGCTGGATCCAGGAATCCACAGGTGCAATATTCACAGATCATTCCTGTTATTCCTGCTTTCCTCTCTTCCCAGAAGTCCCTTCTGACTCCAGGAAAGTTGATTCTTGCATTCATGGGACCCATAGATAGTCATGTGGGTCCATGGCAAGAAGAAGAAGAAGAAGAACAGGAGGAGGAGGAGGAGGAGGAGGAGATTGGATTTATACCCCGCCCTTCACTTGGAGTCTCAGAGCGGCTTACAAACTCCTTTCCCTCCCCCTCCCCACAACAGACACCCTGTGAGGTGGGTGAGGCTGAGAGAACTCTGACAAAAACTGCTCTTTTTCAAGGACAGCTGTGCCAGAGCTTGTGACTGACCCAAGGTCACATCAGCAGGTGCAAGTGGAGGAATGGGGAATCAAACCCGGTTCTCCCAGATTAGAGTCCGCACACTTAACCACTACAGCAAACCACTACAACCTCCTTCTTCTATTCATGCAGCTCCACTGGGTCCAAACCATATCCTGCTTGCCCCTTAAAGTCCCATTACTTATTACTTGCCGCCAAAAAAACCCAAAAACATGAAAACCAGTAGGATTATTTTAGTCTGGGATTTAAATTTTCACTGGCTAATTATATTAGTTAATCTTACTTTGGACTCCAAACCTTATTTCGAAGAAAGTATGTTTAAGGCCCCAAAATCCTGCTGTTACTCAATACGTGTTTATGACAATAGAACCCAGACATATGGCTTACTAGAGTATGGATGGTTTTATGAAAGCTTTCCTTGCACTGTGCTTAAAGCTGTCCATTTTTTTTAAAATTAAGTTGGAGTTCTAAAATGCAGCAAATGTAACCCATGTCATCAATTTGATACCATTAGTAGACACACTAAGGGATTTTATCTGTCCAAGGAGCTCAGGACAAAATACATGAACCCCACCCCCCTTTAATCTTGCAGCAACTGTGTGACATAGGTTAGGCTAAGAACTAGTGAGTGATCCAGGGTCAGCCAGTGAACACCATGGCTGAGCAGGGATTGTAAAGTGGATGCTGAGTTTCTCTTTCTACAGCGGTTGCATCATGGTGTTTTTTCCATCACACATGTAAAGCAAGAGCTGAGCAAAATCCACACACTGCTGTCAGAAGAATGCCCAAGTGTCTCTGTTTCCCATGATAACATAAGTTAGGAGGTTACAGAGCATGGAGGCAAATGGGCATTTGCACAATTTTAATATATCATTTTCTTCGTAGAACTGTGACATGAAAATAGCACATTTGAATCCTTCAGCTGTATTTGTCTTTCTTCTTCAACAAGAGAAAAACTAGTCTTGCTTCTTTAAAATTAGCGCTGTCTCTTTTCAATCCCTTGTGCTAAGAATGCAGCTGCTGTGCTTCCCCTGTTCCTCCATTACCAGCATTTAGAGACCTGTGGAAAGCAGATTCAAGCATTGCTCAAATGCCAAATCCCAGAGCTCAGAGAAGAACAAAGCAGCCACAAATGACTGAAAGTCCTCTCCTAGCCCATCTGCTAATTATGTAGCATTGAGGGATTTCACATTACCCTTTTTAAGCCGTTTTGAAGCAGTTTTTGATCCGTCATGGAGTAAACCGGTATAGGGCTGCCATTTCACACATGGCTTTCCCCTACCGGTAAACAGCTGGATGTGAAGCGGTTTGCCATTTCAGACTGCACTGCTTTTTCCTGCTTTTTCCTGCCGTTTTTCACCCGCGCGGGCGATCTCTGGCTTTTTTTCAATGTTAGCTTTAGAGCGCTATAGCGCTATAACACAACACTCCAGGCATTCCAATGGGGTTGCTATAACACTGTTTTGCTGTTGTGTTATAGCACTATAGCGCTCTAAAGCAAACGTTAAAAAAAGGCGGAGATCACCTGCATAGGTGAAAACCGGCGGGAAAAGGCATTTCGGATCTAGGAGAAGAAACTGAAGACTACTTGGAAGAGGTTTACAGGTAAAACTGTTCAGCCCCATTTCCTGAACGGGACAGAAGTGTTTGTGTGTGAAAGTACACATATAATCCAGTAGGGAACCGGTTCTAAAACAGTTCTGTCTGAAATGTCAGACCAGAAACCATTTGGGAACTGTTCCTGAACCGGAATATATCGCTTGTCTGAAATTCCTCATACTCCAAAGAGTGTCTAATTGAAGGAGAGGAGCTACGACAGCCTGTGTTTTCTAGAGGCAAAGTCATGTGAGGATTCAGTGTCATCTTTTGTCAGGCCAAAGCAATTAAAACAAAAACAAACAAACACCATACAGTGCAAACTGAAAATCTGTAGTCCACCCTCCACGGAAAGCAATTATTGCCTTTAGTGATTGTTGTTGGCTACACATAGTACATCTACTTAGCTCTATTACTACATGACCTAATTAATTCTGGAGAGTTTTCAGGTTCCTCTGCACCAAAAGAATGGTTCATCTCATTGAGTCATTTCAGCATCACTTTCTGAAATAACTCATTGATACTGGCAATGGTAGCACATTCCCCCTCATTACTTTTCTCTTGGCATATTATGAATTTTTGACCCCTTTTAGCTGAACCTGCAGATGTTTAAGGGTAAAAATTATATGTAGATGACTGGTTAAAGCTGGATCCCAGATATGATTTAATGATCCCATCAGACAGTGAAAATTTATGAATCTGTGGAAAAGAAAGAAAAATCGCTGATCTCTAAAATTGTTTCTTTTCCCAAATAGCATTTTGTAGATGAAAAAGAACTGTGCAACAACAAACCAACACACTTTCTATAAAATTGTATACAGATTCAGGTGGGTAACAGTGTTGGTCTGAAGCAGCAGAAGAAAATTTGAGTCCAGTGGCACCTTTAAGACCAAGAAAGTTTATTCAAGGTATAAGATTTCATGTGCAAGCACACTTCTTTAGATACAGTGAAACAGAATTTCTTCAGCCATTACATATAGGAAGGGGAGGTTAGTTGGCAGGAAGGGCCAATTAGAGTCAAGACAGAGACAAAAACAAAAATGGAAATTAGTAGTCCATACATATTGTTAGAGGGTGAGCAATAAATGATGATATAGCATAATGAAGATGTTTAACACATTCAAGGACCAAACAGGGATAATAAGCTTAGGTTATATAGTTACCATTTGCTTGGGTTCAATTTTTGGGGGGAAACAGTGAAGAATATTGAATGAAATAAATATGGCCCTGCCTTGCAACTAACCCCTCCCCTCTTCCTATATGTAATGGTTGAGGAAGTTCTGTTTTACTGTATCTGAAGATGTGTGTGGACTCTAATCTGGGGAAACCGGGTTTGATTCCCCACTCCTCCACTTGCAGCTGCTGGATGACATTGGGCAAGCCATAGTTCTGTCAGAGCTGTTCTTGAAAAAGAGCAGTTCGTGAAGAGCTCTCTCAGCCCCACCTACCTCACAGGGAGTCTGTTGTGGGGAGGGGAAGGGAAAGGAGTTTGTAAGCCGCTCTGAGACTCTGAGTGAAGGGGGGGGGGTATAAATCCTATATCTTCTTCTTCTTGTTGTTCTTGGTCTTAAAGGTGCCACTGAACTCAAACTTTGTTCTATAAAATTGCATGTGAGAGGTATGGCGATATTTATTTATTTAAAATATTTATAGCTTGTTTTTACAAAACATGCCTAGTGGTGTGAACCACAATAAAAATTAGATACTATCTATAAAACTAAAAATTACAACACAATATAACAATATCAAAGAGCAGGTACAAATTTAAGAAACTAAAACCTGTACCAGTCACAGCTCTGATGTAGGGTTCTGCAGACCTGGAGAAATCCCATGTTTGCAGAAAAATCTGAAAATCTGAGCTTCTTGTTAATGGAGAACTAAATTTGGGGGTAACCACCAAGAGATGCACAGATGTTCCACACACATCAAAAAAACCCAAAAAACCAACAACCAAGACTGACCAGTGTTCAGGCAGTGAACATGATGCAGAAAGAGGTAAGCAGCAGAGAAGGGAAGAAAATGAGATAGTAGCAGCAGTAGTGGAAAAGAGACCCTCATGGTTACTGACTCCTAGCTGTTGGTGCTTTTCTGTATATTATAGATTGTTTGCCCTCTAAGGAATTCAGAGCATCTGACATATTGTCCCCTATCCATTTCCCACTTATGTAACCAGGGTTGCTTAGCTTTAGCAAAAGAACTATATCCTGTTCCCTCCAACCATTCTTTACTTCCCTGCCATTATTTTTCCCCCCAATTGTAGTTCAGTTGCTGCTAACTGCGGAAAATATTGGTGAGGTGTATATACAGAGCATGGAGTCTGGACAGTACTTGGCTATGGATGACAATGGGCTTTTATATGGCTCGGTAAGTATGAGGTTTCTTTGGGAATGGACATGGGGAGGTTTTGAGGTTTGCAGAAATCTTGTAGCACAGAGTAACATAGCACACAGGCAGCAATTAGATGGTGTTTGTTGTTTTTGCCTTTGGATTGCCACCCTTTGCCAAGTGTTATTTCTGGGGAAACAAATAAAATAATTTGAGACAACGTTCCTAAAATATTTCAAATACTGGATTTCCTACTCAGAATGAGCAATATCACATCAGCTGCCAAATCACAGAGAGTGATGCCATTAGGTATCCTGAGCTGAATTTGCCCTAGAATAAACAAACATCACAGATGTTGCATGCAGTATTCATCAAGCACCCTGGTGTGCTGGGAGAAGAGTGAGCAAACAAACTGGCAGTCTAAATAGTGAAGGAGCAGGATTAGGCAGCAGCAATCCCACAGGACAATAACTGGTAGCCCCCAAAGGGTCTTTTGCCACATTGGTCAACTGAGGTATAAGCAGCTCTTCAGCCTTGCCAGTTATATGAGTCATCACCACCACTGGTCAGTCTCTTCACCACAGATGACAATCCAGTCATAGATAGGTAGTAACAAGGCACCCAGCTGTTTCATTTGTTTCCCTTTATGAAGACACCACCCTCTTTTTCTTCAGCAGTTACCAACGGAAGAATGTTTGTTTCTGGAAAAGATGGAAGAAAACCATTATAATACCTATACATCGAAGAAACATGCAGATAAGAACTGGTTTGTTGGCTTAAAAAAGAATGGAAAAAGTAAACTGGGACCACGGACACATTTTGGCCAAAAGGCTATACTTTTCCTTCCACTACCAGTGCCTCCGGATTAGACAGTTTACCTCACAAAGTACAGTGTGCCCCTTAGGGTCCCTTTGGATTAACTACCCAGTAGCCTTTCCATTTCCTCTCCATTTATTCTGCCACTTTAGGGAACATTAAAAAGTAAGGGACAAAAGTGTGTGGGACAAAAAAAAAAGGCAAACTATATTAAATATGCACCTACTGTTAACATAATACAGATGCATCCAATAATATTTCCGAAATGGACCAAGTGAATTATAGTCATAGATAGGCATACACACACAGCTCCTCCAACCATACATAGCAAGGCTTCCCTTTTTGAAAGAAGTATTTAGATATTATAATTTTCTAAGACAGCTTTTCATAATCCTTATTTATCATGTGGAAGCATAATCGATGACACTGAAGCTGGTCTTTCCTTTGAAACAAATTAAAGTTGTGCTTTTTAGGAACAAAACCATAACCTTTTCTTCAAGAAATATTGCTCTGGATCTTGATGACATCTGTTATATGCAATGTGTATTATTTATTAAGTTGTATACATTTTAAACTGTTCAACAATTTCAGTAGTATTGTATACTGTCTAAACTGTTTAATAATTTTAACTATAAATGATCAAATAATAACAAGGGGGAAAGAAATCAGAAGATCTTATTTTGGTAATGAAAATGACCAAATATATTTTAAAAAGGACATAATAGAAGTCAGAGTACATTTCTGTAAGTCCAATTGAAATCAGCAGGATTTCCTATCTGCCTAAGTAATTTATTTCAAAAAGATTAAAGAATGTGATCCACAACTTAGTTGTACTGTATTGATATCACTTGTCTTCCTATACCAACTCAGCCAGCTGAACTCAGCAGCCCACTGAGACCTTTCCGGGCACCCACCAAGGGTTTTAGGAAATGGGTAGGGCTTTTTCCAAGCAGGGCATTTGATTGGATTTTCAGATGTTTAAAACATTGCTTCAGCAGCAGCTGTCACTACAGCACAAGGATCTTCACTGTGTAATGGGGAAGAAAACATTTTAAACAGTATGTTCATTTTAAAAGGCATCCTGTTAAACAGAGCTTTTACCTAAACTCCTGAATAGTTACTATAAGAATTATGCATGACTTCTCTCTCTGACATTTGGTGGTTGGCTCCATGTCCTATGGCAGCCATTTTGTGGTTGGCTCTGCATCCCATGGCAGCCAATTTTTAGTTGAGCCCCCCACCCAGATTTCCAAAGATGTCCGCAGGGTCAAGGAAGTTGAAGACCCCTTCCACAGGCTTACCTGAAGTCAACAGTAAGGCTGCCAGCCCCCAGGTCTGAGCTGGGGATCCCTCAGTTTTGGGGGCTTCCCTCTGCCACAGACCAGCTGGCAGGTGGGGCAACCCCTCCCCTAAACAGGGACGTCACTGGGCAATGTCCCCAGTGCAATGACGTCACCCGGATATGACATCGTGTTGGGGAAGTCACACAGGGATGCTCTGGTATTTGGGCAAACTCTATGGTCTTGAGGACAAAAAACCACAGCGTTTTGCCCAAATACCAGAGCGTCCCCACACAATGTCCTTAACATGATGATGTCATTTTTGGGTGATGTCATCACCTCGGAGGATGTTGCTCAGCATCCCCACCCACCCCTGGTATGCCCCCAAATCTCCCCACTGGAGGAATGAAGAGACCAGAGGCAACCCTAGTGAACAGGCAGCAAGGCCCACAGGCTACATAGCAAGCTCCAGCACTGCATTGATTGAGGATTAGACCCCCTGGTTGAAATCCCAAATGTTGTTATGAAGCTCACTGAATGATCTTGGGTCAGTCACTTCTCCCCTCACAGCTTAATCTACTTTATTGGCTGTGATGACAATATGGTGGGAGGAAACCATGTCTGCCTCTTGGGAAGGGTGGGATAAATATTAAGTAACTAAAGACCACCAGAAGCATCCATCTAGAAATAGTGTGGCATCTTGGCTTTGAATCCAGTCTGATGTCATTTCTCCCATCAGGCAAAATATCACCATCATCATCTATTCTTTTTTAATCTCAGCATTTTATTAGTGCACTTTTGATGCTACAAAAACAAACAAACAACAACAACAAATTGCATTGGTGCTGATGTACTGGTTTTTTAAAATGATTTTTATTGAAAGAACTGTTACCAACAATACAGAAAAATAAACAAAAATTACAACATGTCTTATGGGCTACATGAGCAAGCAAAATAGTAGCAAACATCTAAAAAACATTCAAAGTATGATTTTTTGGGTGCCTGTTTCGGTTTTTATGACTTTTTAGTCTCGTTCAAATGAGAGAAAATAAGTGTAGTGAGTTGTGAATAGTGCGTAAGTGCAAGCTCAACTTCTGATGGAAGCTTAAAGCTGACAAATAAGTAAAACATTAAAAGTAAAGAGGACAGATAGTATGTTTAGATCAGCACTAAGTCCCTGTAGAACCTATTCTGACACAAGATGTTGTTTGAGGTAGTGAATTCATAAAAAGGATACCATTTCTCTACAAAGTTAGTAGATCTTGGGGAAATTTCTGTTATGTGTTATCTTCTCCATCAGGAACTGATCCTATACATCATCATCTATTTCATGGCTTTGGGGTAGTGTTGCCAGGTCCTACTGTTCTGCCAGCGGGGGGCTTGAGGGTCCTCTCTGGGAGCAGTGACGCTCTAGTTTTTGGGTAAAACTCTATGGTAGAGTTTTGCCAAAAACTAGAGTGCCATGTGACATCAGCAGCACAATGACATCACTTCTGGGTGACGTCATTGCACCGCGTTTCAGGGCATTTGCAGGTGGGTTTTCCCCCCACTGGCTAGTGGTGGAGGGGGCTTGCAAAAGCAGGGGAACCATCACCCAGACCAGGGGGCTGGCAACCCTACTTTGGGGGCATGTGCTTCTGGTATGCCTGCATTTTCCTGAGTCTCCAGAAACATTGGCACAGTTTGGTACAGTGCTGCACAGCAAAGCAGGTTTCACTGGGGAACAGTCATAGATAGGTAAGATATGGAGCATGATGGAAATCCACTCCAATTACTACGTGCTTAAATACCCAGATTCCAAGTGATATGCCAGGGTCAATTCTTCATGTCTTGCCATTATTACATACGTGTCAGGCCTTATGTGATTCACAGACCATAGTTACAGCCTAGATTCCTTGTACTTACTCAGTTCTATTGATTTCCTTGCATTTTCTTTAAGCCAATTCAAGTACTTATTATTCCTTGATCATTATAGTGGTTTCAGGATACCATTGTAAATCTGCCAGTGGCAAAGCCACATTGAATTTCTCTCATCCAAAGACAAATATTATTAATCACTATTATTTTATTGCACTTCCAAAGCTGCTTGATCAGCCATTGGTTTTGCTGCTGTATTTTCCAGTTGCTAGGGGAAGCAAATGATATTTTCCCATTCTGATGTCTGGCTTTTTCAATATACTTTTACTTTCAGATGAACTTCAACTGCAGGAAAGCATTCTGATTAGCTTCTGCTTTAATATGCAGTCTGTTTGGGGCACACAGAATCAAGGCATTCCAAATCCTTTTGAATATCTCAATCTGAGGTTGTTGTTTTTTACCTCTTTATTATTAGCACAGCCAAGAGACAACCCCATTGGTATTATTTCTTCATACAAATAAGGTTCCTGCCATTACTTGAGTGTTTCCAAAGACACACTTGGTTCCAGAACAAACATGGATATGGGACACTCTGTTACCTACAAACCAGCTGTTCCAAAACCAGCACAGCAGGTTCATAAATTCTTTTAGGCCAATTTGCTAATAATAAACGCAATACTGACATATTTCTCCAGGAATGGTTTGTTTCCTGATTGTTTCCTCCTTTCACCCTCACTGGCTCTTTTGGAAAGGGCCTGTGGCTCAGTGGGGGAGCACATGAACTATACTGGGACTATACTGGCTTGTAGTCTACCACTCCACTAAGCAAAGTTGCAAACCATCCTCCAGTCTAAAAAATCTTCCTATAAGAAAAGTGGCTTCAGATTTTGCAGAGTGGACTAAGAACATAAGTGCAACCTTGCTGGATCAGACCAGTTGTCCACCTAGTCCAACATTGTGTCTCACACAGTGGCTAACCAGTTGTCCTGAAGTACTAACAAGCACAGCATAGAGGCCAAGGCGTTTCTCTGATGTTGCCTCCTGGCACTCGGATTCAGGGGTTTACTGTCTCTGAATCTGAAGATTCCCTTTAGTTCAATTGACTAGTGGCCACCAGTGTTCCCTCTAAGCTGAGTTAGTGTGAGCTAGCTCACAGTTTTTTAGCCTCCAGCTCACAGATTTTTGTCTTAGCTCAGAAAGGAGGGCTTCAGAGCAAACTAATTCATGCAGCAGCCAAATCCTTGGCTCACAACTTTAATGCCAGGAGCTCACCAAGTAAAATTTTTGCTCACAGGACTCCACAGCTTAGAGGGAGCCTTGGTGGCCACTGATAGACCTACCCTCCATAAATCTGTTGTGATGCCCCTTCTCCACTCACAGAGTAGCTACCACCCTCAACAACATCTCCCACTCAGGTTCAGGATTATCAGTAGCCCTTCTTGTCTCTTTTAAAATATACAGTGAGCCATGACCATTTCACACCTCAGGGCCTCTCTCTCACTCCCAGAGACATCCACAGACATGGTAGCCCAGCCCCCTTTAGTAATAAGCCCTGACTCACATAGAATTCATTCATTCATTCATTCATTCATTCATTCATTCTACTAATAACCCTCCCTCCCTGCCAGAGCAGCCTCAGGGTGGCTTACATAAAAAGTTAAAAACAATAAAGCAACACAATTATAAAACATCATAATTAGTCCTGAACAATTATGAACAATCATAAAGTGCTCGTAACAAAATTGTTGGCATTAGTAGTGTTGCATAGTGGTAATAACAGGCCATGCTGGAATGTTCACAAGGAATATAGTCAGTGTTGGCATTCAGCTAAACTAATCCATTTATACTGGCAGGTACAGGCTGCTGATGGTGAGTCCAGGGGGGATGGGCCTTGTCATAGCTCAGGTGTTAGATGCAGCTCCTAATTAAAGGCCTGGTGGAAGAGCTCCATCTTGCAGGCCTTGTGGAACTGTAGAAGGTCCCACAGGGCCCTGATGTCTTCCAGGAGCTCATTCCACCAGCATGGGGCCACCATTGAAAAGGCCCTGGCCCTGGTTGATGCCAGCCTGGCATCTTTGGGACCAGGGAGGGCCAGGCAGTTTTGAGACCCTGAACGCAGTGATCTCTGGGGATAGGGAAAGGTGGTCCTTGGCCATATAGGGCTTTAAAGATAAGAACCAGCACCTTGAAGCAAATTCGGTATGCTATCAGCAGCCAGTGCAGTGCTTTCAGCACAGGCTGAATGTGTTCCCACATAGGGAAACCCATCAGGAGCCTGGTTGCATCATTC